ACAATATATATATATAATATTATCAAAATTGTGTGTTATATCGGATGTAGATCATTTTCTTGACATAAGGAAATCCAAAAAGGATAGTCTTGACTCGAGTTAATTCGAGTTAAGACTATGTTTTTTAAGCTACGAGTTGACTCGAGTCCAGTCTCTAATCCACCGTATGTTAATATGGTCACTGATAAATGATTTTTTATAACTAGGTGGAAATTTAATAGAGAGCCGTTTGGTTGGGTGATGAATCAGTTTCAAATGTGGGCAAGAGGATATTTTGACTTTCAGATTTGGATCTTAAAGATGTATCTGATACAATTCCGGTTTTAGTTCAATGTCAAAACATTAGTGATTTTTATGTAGACGATCGAAGACTTTTTGGTGATTGGTATGGGTGCAAGAATTCTTGACATGTTCATTATACAGATTGGTGATTTGCAGAAAAGCTATAGTAGTTTTTCTTATAGAGAGCGACGAAAAATTTATGATTCATCATTTAAAGTTTGTTATGAAACATTCGTTAGAAAAAAGACAGTTCAAATACAAGTCATTCTCTTTTTATGAGAAATATTTTAATAATGAGTTACAAATATTGATTATACACGATGAATGATAAATTATAATAATAGCATCAATGAAATATTTACTAAAATAATGAAAATAAGAATGGGATATGTCTATGAAAAAAATAAAACTATACGTAGTGTAATGATAAATTGTATAATCTATTCTAGAGTCATATTAATTTATAAAATCTAGGTGAAAATATTTGCCGCATACTATTTGAAAATCTAGAAGTATTATTATTATTACGAAGTGATTCTTGATAATACATTGCATTAATTTGACCACGTTTTGCTTCATCTTTCATCTTTTGTAAAGTTTGACCAGAAATTGTAAGATGATATAATTGTTTCTCTAAATTATTAATATCTTCTGGAGTAATTGGAACTGAAGAAGCTTTGTCAGCTTCAATCGCATCTTTAATGGTTTCCATTTTTTCAGCATATTCTCTTCTCGAAGTTTCGAGTTCATCAAGTATATCGTTATTATAAGTCATTGGATTGGCCGCTTTCTTAATTTTTTCTTCATTTATGAAATGATCAAAGTAATCAATATATGCGTCATTGAAGGCTGCTATCGCGTTTTGTCTTAAAAATAGTGCGAATTGTATAATAATTTTATTTATCGTATTTTTCTCTTCTTTCAATTGATTGATTCGATTTTCTAGGTCTTTAATATATGCTGCCTTTATAGTTTGATCAGATTGTTTTTCATTGATTAAACTTTGTATATTCTCATCAACTTTATTTACAGAGACTTGTTGGTTCTCATAAGTTATGTGCATATGTTTATTCCAGGAACAGCCACATACTTGACATTTATCGGTTCCATTCATAGCTGAGCATTCCATAAGAGCTGTATTGTTTATTAAATTACATTCAACACCTCTTAAATAGCACTGTTTATGACAATGCGTTATGTAATCAATCTTTTTCATTTCTGTTTTACCGATGGTCAAAGTTTTAACACAGGAAGCACTAGTACACACAGTTCTAGGGAAATTCAATTGAACCGGTTCAAGGTCTATTTGCGGAATGTGTAATTTGCCTTCAAGATCGGCAATAGTTGAACCAAATTTTTTTATTTCTTCTCGTTTTTCTTCAGATAGGGCAATATTTACTTGAATATTTTGGCAAATTTCTGCAAGAGGCTTGGAAAGACTCATCACTATTTGTCTAGCATTGTTGAGTGATATAGTATCTTTTACAATGTGCGGTCTACATGATTTAAAATATCGAATAAGTCTGTTTGACTCATCAACAGATCTTTTCCAGCTTCCCGCGTAGATTTCTTTATCAATTTCATTAAATGATATATATTGCTTATATGCTGCTAGAAATCTAAATGATTCATTATCAAAGCAATATAATGTATTTTGTTCGGTCTTTATTTCAACATCAGTTTTTGACTTAAGATTCATTAGTTGTTTTTTTAACGCTGGCAATGTATCTCCAGGACGATAAAATGTTCCCCTGCAATTAGTAAAGCAGAAAACGATATTGTCTCTAGCATCTTTATGAAGGTGTGATAATAATTCCTGTATACAGAATCTAAACATTACAGTTAATCGAGCATTATTTGGTTTAAGAAGTATGCAGATTCCATTCAGATGTTCAAATTGGCTAATATATTTTAAAATATTTTCGAAATTTTGTTCATCAGCGTATACACCTCTGGTATCACCTATTCCAGGGGTATCAATAAACCTTACTTCTGTATTATTATCTACACGGAATTTATAGCTTCTACAACCTTGCGTAGAAGACATTCCCCTATTTGTAATGGATTCATTTTCATCATCTTGACCTATCATAATATTTTTAAGTTCGCAATATTCATCTGCTATTGAAAACAGAGATGGAATTAATGTATCCATTTTCCCACGCATTGCTTCATCTATATTTTTAAATTTCATATAGTTTGCAAATGCGTTTATAAAAGTAGACTTTCCTACACCTGTCTCTCCAAGTAATAATATGTTTAATTCAGTAGCTACAAGAAAAAATTAAACCAATTAATCGTGGCATCATAAGTAATGTGCTTATTAATTCACCTTACTCACCTGTGCCTGCAGTCATTAAATCATGACATGAAGAACATATACGATGTGAAGATTCGCTGGTCATTCCGACTCCGGATGGAGTAACAACTTGATCAGGTGACAATGTAACACGTTCTCTAGAGCATTGATTACATACAACCTGACCGCATCGTCTAATTTTCATGCCAAATATGTATATTTTAATTATGTAAAAAGTTGGATGAAGTTAACTAGTAATACTCGTAATACAAACCTGCAGTGATGCTTTCTTCTATAAAGCCTCATAAACGGCTTTTGACACCTGCGACATTCTTTTACGTCATCATCATTTTCCCATATGCCTTTACACTCTATACAAGTCAAAAAACTTTATTAAAATTTTTATAAAGGAAACTTATTTATTAAAAGATAATTTACCTTCAAAATTTTCATTTTCTTTCGATGAATTATTATGATTATTTTCAAAAGTTTCGTTTTCTTTTGATGAATTATAATGAGTACTTTCAACTTTTTCAATTTTTTCAGTTGGTGTATATGAAATGGATTGGAAAGTCTCATGTTGCTCGTAAACATTAATGAACTCAATAGATGTTTCAATGGATAGCCTTTCAAGTTCGATTAAGATATTTTCCAGTGTTGGACGATTTTCTAGTTCAGTGAGCCAACATCTTTCATAAAGTTTTACGTAATCTGGAGGTATATTGGTAAGAGTTCTCTCTCTTTTATTTTTTGCAACTTTCTGGATTATATCCGTCATATAATAGGTCGCAAAAGGAGGAATTCCATTTGAAAGTTCCCATAATAATATACCCAAGTTATAAATATCGGAATTTTTGTTGCGTAAGGCCACACCTGAAGCATTTAAACTGGAAAAGGGTACATTGTTTAATGTCCCATAATTCGAAATTAATATTTTACCATCGTTTATCAAAATATTTTTTGAATTCTAAATAGATAATTGGAATATACGAGAATTTATAAATTCATAAATACGAAAGTACGTATGTAAATGCAATGAAAATTAGAATAGAGTATTTAAAAAAAAAAAAAAAAACTCACTAGATTCTGATGAATTATATCATTGGCGTGCAAATATGCTAAGCCGTTGGTAATATCTTTCGCAAATTGAATTAATTCAGTCCACGAAGTTTTGTATTCATTCTTATCTTGCTTGCTGCGTAAATAATCTTGTAAATTTCCACCATTGGCATATTGTAACACTAACATAAAATTACATTGTGGGCCTAAAAACAAAAATTCATTATGCTTTAAAAAAAAATAGCGTGATGAAGGTTTTAATTGCTTTTATATGACATACTTTTTGAAATTCCATAGAATTTAATAATATTTGGATGATCAACCAGCTTAAGCTGTATTCAATATAGAATTTAATTGTTAATTAACGTGACAAAAAAAGAACCTAAATACTGAAATATCAAATACATAATATATAGATAATATATTACCTCGGATAAAATTTTTTTAAATTTATCATTATCCAAATAATTATTATTCAGTTCTTTCAATGCATACTTTTCTCCTTGGTAAACGCAAGAGTAAAGAAGTGTAAATCCACCATTTCCGAGATGTTTTAATTCTTTAAAATTAAAAAAGTCGTAGCTTTTTACGTCAGAAATGCTCTCTAACTGATTTGAAAATCCATAAGCTAATGCAACAGAAAATATTCAAATATTAATAATGTGGTGCATTTAATTAAAACTTTGAATTTATTAGAATTCGTACTTTCTGAATGGTTGTATAACTTTATTTCTGCGTTGCTCATATCTTCGAAATTATTGTTAGAAAAAAAAAAAAACGCAATTTGTCTTTATAGCTTTTTTTTGAATGAAATCTACATGTGACAATTTTAAAGTTTGAAATATTGACATCTAATATGCAAGTATTCATGAATATTTAAAGTTGCCAAATTCCGAACATATTGGGTAATGAGAGTAATAACAAATGGCGTTGTTTGCATACGATTATCATCATCGCACTTTGAATTCAAATATAGAAGTAATAGTCAAAAAAAACAAAAACTAATTTTGTAGAGGTTGAAATATGTTTAAATATTATTAAGTTAGAAAGCTAAAAGTTGTACAGTACTTGTTGAATAAAACTTTAATAATTAATACATATAAGTAAAATTAAATACGGACTTCACGGATCAGTGTATCGTACGTACGTACATAAGTAATTGTGATCAGTCTTTTCGGTAAGTTGGCTTTCGAAGTTTTTGTTAAAAAATTATTTGTATATGAAGTGGGTAGGACTTATTCGTTAAAATGGAATTTTAATCCCAAAACTTTACATCATTATACATACGTTATAAAAGAACGCAACTACTAAGTGCTTTGTGTTAAAAGACATTATTTGTACTTTGTGATAGGGTGGTTAAATCTGCCTAATATGGTTAAATAGATATCTGGTCTTTGAATGACTTCCTATTTAATTAATTTAGAAGCTTCTTTTTTTCTGTTCTACTGATAAATTATGATACTGTTGATAAGTTATAATATTATTAACCGCTGTAATTAGTGTTTGTTTAGTAAACAAATTCTAATATTACCATTGAATATTCTGTACCATCAATACGCAATAAATAAATTTCAATGTATACACGTATATGCGTAGGTCTTTGTTAACGGAGTTAGATCACAATAATAAAGTTTATTTACTCAAAAGAGCTCGCTAAAAGCCGACGCAATGCATATGTATAATATTAATGGCAAGTGTTCGTAAATCTAAAAACTAGGGAAAATTGAAAAACAAGATCATACATCACGTGAAATAATGCAATCACATCATTTGTTTACTAGCACTAAACAAATTGGCCTAAACCATACTATCAGACTAACCTAACTTAGGCCGAGCGTTTAATAATGTGATGTGATGATAATAAAGATATCAATGGGTTCCTTATTCTTCAAACTTCCTGCCCCGAATTAATGTAAACGCTGTAATAGTGTGATTAAATATACTAAGATAAAGAATAATAAGAAACAAGAACTTTTTTGTTTATTTCGTAATACTCCGAAGATATTGAAGGTTGCGCTATATTACTTAATATAGATATAGTAATTTGGGGTTGCACATCCTGTGCAAGCTGCGTAACTAGTAATAGATACCGAGCGAAAATATTTGCATACGTAACATTTTACCATTGTGGTGACTAGTAGGGATGAGTTCTGTCACAAACGGTCACAATTATTCATAGCAATTGCTAAATATTATGATTTTTTATTTTTGAATATTATAAAGTTATTCGAATTAAATTCCGCTAATCCCATCTTATAAGTGGAAAAAACGATATCTTCTCTGGAACTTAGAATTTCAAAATTTGTTAACGTTTATTAACTGGCTATGACGTTAACAAATATTAAAATTCGGAGTTCCCGAAAAAGTTTCGTTCTTTCCACTTATAAGTTGAGATGAACAGAATTTAATTCCGTGCAACTTTAATTAAACAAAAAATCATTTCGGTATTTAGTAAATTGACTAGGATAATCATGACAGTTTGTAACCAAACCTATGCCTAGTGGCCAGATGGCGTTCGATTCTCAATTGATAAATTTAGAATAAACAATACCGATAACGAATGAATTTCAAATTTCTATCTCTAATTGTGGATTGGTGTTATTCAGGAAGATAATTAATAAATAGGTGGTAATAACAAATTATGAAATTAGGCAACTGCGAAACCTGGTCACAGGAACGGATGATGGATAGATGCACAATACGGTGTGTTAATATTAGATTATTAATTGATCATTCGTCTCCGAATGAGATAATTACTATAGTAATTAAAAATGACCTCAAAGAGAAGTAGCATTTTCACTTTACTATTTGCTATCGCTATTAAAACATATAGTAAGGCATTAAATTAAGTATAACGTGACAATAATTTGTCTATACAGTCAACTCTATCTATTCAGAACAATCCATTCCTACATCAAGAAGTTCAGTTTTCAAAGAGTTATTATATTGCTAATCCGAATTTTATAATAAAATTCATAAATGTTTCAGATCTTTACGTTTGGTTCTCATAGAATTTATTAAGGTTTGGATTAGAGAGAGGCGACAGTAACCGTATTTTATGTTCTAATTGAAATTTTTTTTTTGTGAATAATTTAATATATGGATGTTTCATATTAAAACAGTCTATTTTACAATTTTTTGAAAAAATCGGATTGTTTGGTTTTTGAATAATATCTGTTCAATAAAAAAAGTTTGTCATAAGTAAAAAGATCCACATATGAATTAAATCGGTTGGCGAATGTTGATCCAATTTAACTCCGATAATTCATTTGGCTGAGAATAATTATCTTTCGTTACGACTTGTACACGTGATATGGTGTCACGAAATAATTTAATCGAGGTCGGGTTATCACCTACAGGGTAACTTTCTCATGATTGGCCAATTGAATTTATACAGTTTAGAGTAGAGTACTTTTACACCCAATTTAGCAAAATCTTTTTTAAAATATAACCATCGTTCATAATACTACGGAAAACTCTTTACAAACGAAGCCTTAAGTATCTTGGGTATCTCTGAGATTCACCATATCTAGGTAAACTTCATTTAGAAACTGTATTTATGCTAGGAAAATAGTACTGTGTGATATATACACGTCACTCTGGTTATACCGACATCTGGATATAACGACATCATAGTAAAATCTTTATATACCGACATTTTTTTCAAAAATTTAATATAAAATGTCGGTATAACTCACTGTACCGACATTTTGAATTTTTTACTAATGTCTCAAAAATGTCGATATAACCATGGTGACGTATATAAGCATTGAAGCTCTTAAATAACTCACAAAAGTGTAACAACTTGTTTTAAAAAAAAAACCATGAAAGTAATGGCATCTTCGTAATACTATTAAATTAAAACAGGTTACAATACTCGAGGCTTATTTAAATATGAGAAAACATTTGGTAAGTAGTTTCATATTTCGGGATCTTGAAATTAATAAGGTCAAAGTTGTTTTTTTGAACCATTTAAGAATGTAATAAAAACATATGTTTATTTTTCATTTTATTTATTAATTTTTTTTTAAAGTAATCAATAGGTTCTACTTTATTCATCTGAGGTCTATATTTAAGATAGCTTTAATATAACTTTATTATGTATTACGGAAGATTATGACATTATCATTTTGCGTTGGAAGAAACTTTATTTATTACAATTTTATACAAAGATGAATGAATATGATAACTTTCATCAGGAAAAGTTTTAAATAAGGTGTATATCGATTACCAGCTGCAGATAATTTATAATCTTACCGAGATAGAATAACTTTACGTATAAATCAATATTACCATATAGTTCCGAAAATAAGCACCCCGAAAATAAGCACCCTTTCCCGCACTATGCCAATTTTGGGCCGCATTATAATGATTTCGGCCAGCATTACATGCAAAAAAGGGTGCTTATTTTCGGAACTATACGGTATATCGTTTAATAGCAAATAAAAATTTTGATTGGCCAGTTTGCACATGATCTGCTAAGTGACCAATCATGACGTGATATTTAATTTGTGTGATCAACGAATCACTAGAGAGTTCTCCTATAGGGTTATCACTTAATTAGTAATTATTATACAAAATAATAATAATAAATGCAATACAACAATGATAAAGAAATATATAAGGCCACACAAAGTAAATTTTTCGTTTTGCATTACCCACCGACCCATTTTTTCAATTTTCGAGATTTTTTTTTTTTTTTAGGTTCCAATTGTTCTATTTTTGCCATTTAATTTCCCCCCATAAATTAATCTGGTACCACCCGATGGAGACCTTATTTTTCCGGAATTGTCCGATAGAACTGATAAAAAAATTCGATTGCCAACCCAATTTTCTGATTCCATGATATGTAAAGCGAAAAATTAACTATGCATGGCCTTAAATATGAACATGAGTCTATTAATCACTGTAAATTTTTTTTTTTTTAAAAAAAAAAAAAAAATCCGACCGACCGACCGTTGATTTTGAAATCCACGTAATGCAAAACGAAAATTAACTTTGCGTGGCCTAATACATCATCAATAATAAACCAATAAGCTCAAGTATAACAATGTGAGAATCTGATACTTATTATAATCCTATACTAAGACATCTGATTAAACTTTATTAACGAGAAAACTCTAGCTTTAAATTTTAGTTTTCTATAAATTACTGAGCTATATTCTTACATGATTACTTATACCCACAACTAGGGATGGGTTCGACTACGAACGGCTACGATTTTCATAACCAATTTGCTAAATACTGAGATGATTTTTTGTTCTTGAGCTTTTAATTAAAGTTTTTTCGGAATTAAATTCTGTTCATCCCATCTTATAAGTAGAAAGAACGATATCTTCTCTGGAATTCGGAATTTTAAGCTTTGTTAACGTCATAGCCGGCTAATAGTCGGCTATGATGTTAACAAAGCTTAAAATTCCGAATTCCAGAGAAGATATCGTTCTTTCTACTTATAAGATGGGATGACCAGAATTTAATTCTGAACTATTTAATTAAAAGCTCAAGAACAAAAAATCATCTCAGTATTTAGCAAATCGGCTATGAATAATCGTAGCCGTTCGTAGTCGAACCCATCCCTAATTATAACATAATAAATAGCTTATATGTAAGACTTATACATATATGGGGCTCTCGGATTCATGAATTCATGAACTCATGGACAAAAAAAAATCCGAAAATTCATCGAACTAACTAAATCGAAAAGAGAGATAACTACATAATGTGATCATCGGAATAGTAAGTTCA